GGCCCGCTTAATGCCCAATCAGAAATGAATTTTAATTAACTTCGAGGCGTGCGGCCCACTCTCCCGGCTGGCTTCGGGTCACCGCTGCTCCCGGATCGGTGTGGCGTACAGCAGGGGTGTGTTGTGGGCCCTCTCGTAATTCAGAAACAATCGAGCACTCCATTGTTCGCTGACCATCAATACAGAGGGGAGACGTGATCCATGTCACCGCACTGGCTGTGAGTAATTTATAGGCCGAATAAGGGGGGAAGCTCACTGGTATGTAGCACTAGCTGACATGCCCTTGATACTGTGGTGCAATGATGAACACCGGTTCAGTCTTGTACCTCACCTGTCATTCACAAATGACAGTCGCTATTCGGACAGTAGTGGTCAGTCTTGCCAGCGATGAAAAAGAAATGGCAGTCAAAGTGACAAACCAGGACATTCTGAAACGATACATAGCCTCGTATTTTATACATTCCTAAATGGAAATACATTCACACTCACTTTGTTAGAGGCACTTTCACGTATGTTTTTTTGGTCTTTTTCAGAGCTTTCAGAGCATTCAGCCCTAGATGGCATGGAGCCACGGTCTGTCCAGTTTTGTGTGATTGGATTAATTGTGTGTCATTCACTTCAGCTAGAGGTCAGCAAACATACATTCTCGGTCAAAAGCCATCAATCTCTCAGACTCCAGAAATGAAAAGTCAGACTTGTCAGGCCGAGAGCGGAGGATCAAACAATTGATTTCAGGGCCAGTGGAGTATCCCTCAGCGCTTTGACCACTACATCCTACAGCAGTTTAGATATAATCACAGGTGATTGGAAAGTACGGGCCACTTCATCCTCCAGTTTGTAAAGGACAGATATACTGTAGAATCCAAGGTGCAATATTCTTTACCCTGAAAACAACCTCTGAGCGAAATAATGGGGCTATATTTTATATTTATCTCTCATACAGGCAGCAATTAAGATCATCCAAAGTAAATAACAGATTGTATGGCAGATCCTCTCCTGCTGACAAACAGAGCGCTTCTGTAACCTTTGCATCTCCTCTAATGGTTAATCTTGGCTGGATCTCTGCCTTAATTGCTTAAAAGTCTCCTCGGGGCAGGGCGAAAGCACCCTCACTTAAGGACCCACCATGAAACAGCAACACTTTCATCACAGACATAACAGCTAACAATTATATTACCAGAGCCCAAACGCAGCCTCCTATCTCCCCGCTAATCAAAACACAGCCCATCTGTTGTGCCTGTCGCTCCTGCAATGACTGTTTATCTGAGTACGGAGAGCGGCTCTGGCAACTCATCACTACCCAGATCTACTATAAATACTGTAATGGCAATTAAATGTGAGAGGATATCTATTCTAATATGGTCATATGTCAAAGGAGGAGCGAGGGGGGGAACGCCAATAAAACACCAAAAAATGTTTTGGAAAGGAGGGAATGGCCCTATTTAGTGAAGGCATCTCTTTATTCTAACCCTCTCTCTCCCTCTCTCTCTCCCTCTCTCTCTCTCTCACGCACACAATCACTAAGACTCCCCCCACCCCTCCCTCCTCGTGTGCACCCCCACATAAACACTCGACGTACTCAGGCGCACGCTCAGACACACCGGCACACACACACGCGCGCGCGCGCACTTTCCCTTAGCTGTGCTTTTGTGTTTTGTCAGAATTAATGAGAAAAGTTCCCTTGCCCTAGGGGTAATTAGTGTCCTTGGAGTTAAATAAGCTAATACTTAGACACCTCTGGCACAAGCAATTATGTTTGTGTATTGAATAATTGATTCAAAGAGGGGGGGGGAAGGGCCGCTAATCAGATCTGAGCATAATGAATTGATTTAATTAACAGGGGAATCCGCGGGTCTCTGGGAAGCGCGCGCATTTATTCAGCAGCGCGAGCGAGCCGAGCGCATAAATTGGGAGAGCGAGGCGGCGCGAGCATGCTTTTGGCACTTGGCCGCTCCACAACTGGATTTCTCCGATACAGTGACAGTTTCGCGGCACGCGGGCGCCGGGAGGGGAGCGTTTTACGAAGAGAATAGCTTTTCGACGCGAGCCCGGCTTTCGAAACGCGGCGGAGGCGGTTTAACTTAGTCCTTTCGCTCGTTTTTCTGCATGGAGCGAACCGTGGCCGCTCAGGTGCCTCAGCCGCGCTCGCAGTTTAGTGTGGATGTGTAACTCCAGCGCGAGGGAGAGCGAGCCGAGCCGGGGAGAAAGCGCGAGCGTCGCCGTGTGAGAGAAATTCTGACAGAGCGAGCGGCGGGCGGTCCTGCGCGTGTGTGTGTTCAACCCAGCATACATGGGTTTCCGTCACTGAGCGACGGCCCTGCGATCAAAGCTCACGGCACGAGGACGTTTTCTTTCCGTCGTGCTCTTTTGTTGCGAAGCGGTCAGCCCTCCGTTTCCTCTCCCACCGCCGGCGACTCGCGAAGCCTGCTGGAGCCGAGAACGGATCGCCTGGAGCCGGACTCCTCGTTCCTCAGGACGATGGTGTTAGACAAGGAAGAGGGTAAGTGGGGCAATGCTGTGTGGATATCAGACCGGGTCAGCCTGCTCGGTAAGGGTTCTAACTCGGCACTAGAACGGATCCAGCCTGCATAGTCCGTTTTATTTAGCGCTGCTGGCACTTTCGAGCGCTGGTCCGTCTGACAGACGCAGCGTTTTGTTAGGAGCGAAAGCGCTTAGCCTACTTTTAAGCCACTTTCAGTGCCTGGCGAGATACAGTAGACTCACTGCCTCCGTGTGGGGAGGATTTTGGAGAGGGATACGAGCGAATACACGTACACATGTTGTAAAAGTGCTGCGTCTTGTGGTCGCCTGCTGCTGAAATGAATATTTGCTCCCATCATCATCATCATCATCACCCTCATCATCATCGGCGTTGAGTGCAAATCTCCCAAGTTACCGAATCGTCTTTCAGCAAACGCTCTCAGCGGCAGCTTCAAACAGCCTAGTGAGTGTAATGCTAACTAAAAAACACTCTGGCAGCGTTCGCTCAGTTGAATTGACTTTCTCCCATGACTGTGAGATTCTGTGTGCTCTGTAGGTCTGTGTTCATCGTCAGTGTAAACAGTATTCATATCTGTACTCACAGTATCTGAAAAGACGTGTATCCTAGAGAACTTTTTTGGGGTAAAATGCGAAAAGTAAACCTCCATCCATAAACCCATGTTGGGGTGCTTCCTTAATATAGTGCAAAAACTGATATTAAAAAGCCCCTTCGACCTAAAATGGGCTATTCTTGTCATCTTTCATGGAAAATTGTCATCGCCCTCATTGTAGCTAGGGGCCCTTTTTTCCTCAAAGTAATGGCTTTCATTTCAGAGCCATTATTTATGTTTGAAAATGGGTATTTCATATCTCTTTGAGCCGAGCATCCTTTCACTAACCCATCTAAAAACCAATAAAGGGATTGCCATAGAAGCATAAATTGGTCTGTCTCGCTGAATACATGTTGTGCTAATGTACCCCAGATTAACTCAACTGTAAATTGTCTCCTTTGGATGTCTGTCTTGCTAAAAGTTCCCTATATGATTCATGATTCGGATTGCTTTTAACAGCTATTGGCTAAGCAATATGGGAAATGTACAAGGTGATGCAAATGGCATTAGCGGGAGAGGATGCACAGGAGCATGTAATGCAGTCAATACTACATTAACTACTGATGCCCAATTACAGAAGCAGGGAGAGTGGCTTTTAGGAGCATTAGGACTTGCAGAAAAGCTTAGATCACCTGCTGCTCATTGCCTAAAAGCTTCACCCTTTGCTTGCTGGGGCCGACCAACTGCGCTGGCATTTTGGCAGGCGGCTGGGGAGGCGGCCTGGAGCTACTTTCACCGTCTAACAGATACAGGCTCCTAGTGTTTGGCTTACCTGGATACGAAAATATCAACTCACTTAAGGCCGGACTGACCACAAACACAATAATAGCTCATAATGGCTCTGTATTGTGTTGTCTGTGTGCGTAAATGAGAGAGAGAATGAACGCTAGCATGGAATAATCTCACCATCTACACTAGCACGACACCCATGTTTGCTTATCTAAACAGCATTACGTCTCTGTGTGAGTAAACACAAACAAGGCTGAAGCACTTATTCTGTGTATTGCAACTTGCTCTGTGTATTGTGGGATCATATTTCAGATTTAGATAATAACACTCAAAATATATTTTCCTCACTCAAACAAAAGTCAATGAATTTGTAATGCGCTGTAACCTATTCAGTCAGGGAAGGGACAGACCCCTGCCTGTGTCTGGTACGCTTTTGCATGACCGCTGTTTCAGCGAGGCTTGGAGTGATCCTGCCCCGGAGAAAATCATCATCTTGTTTCTTCCTCCCCAAAGTGTCGTTTTCGGAAAGTAGGATAGAAACCAGTCCCGACTATTTTTAACACGCACAAAGCATTCGTTTTCTGACCCAAAATATGCCCAGAACTGTTTTCGAGCAGGCTTTATTAAAATATGAGTGCTGCTTGCTCGGAAATACTGGGTCATTCATGCTTCTCTGTGTATAAGCAGTCTTAGTGCATGACTACAGTGATGTGTCGCATATGGCTGCTCTTTTAACCCACTACTGCTGCTCTGATGCAGTTTTGTTTGGTTTCAAATCAGCTGCCTTCACTACTTACTGACTCTATCTGGTTTTGCAGTGAAATCTGACAAGGCTCTTGTTTTTTAGACATTTGATCCACTCTCAAGCTACAGCTGTTTGCAAATGGAAGTCACAACAGAGAGAAATCGTACAGAAAATCACATCACAGTCGACGACTCACCTTGGAGTTTGCATGACTTAGGCTAAGAAAATAGATGTTAATATGCAGGACGACTGTTTCTCTTTTACCTGCCAAAAGAATGGTCCCAATTGACTTTTTAATTCTTGGACGGGAGAAACAGCAATTCAGCCGTTTTCTTTTCCTTTACGGTATTAAAACTATCTTCTGCAGCAGGAATAATTGGGTTCTCATTGTAGACATGTCCTGGGCTGATCATTCGCACCACTGGGCTCTGTAAGAACATGGGGATGAGGAGGAGGGGGAAAAAAGCCCTTTCCTATTCTTCACACTGATGATAAATTCTTGGTTACCTTTTCCCCTTTAATTTATGGCCCCCACAAGCTGGCTGTCCAATGAAATTTGCTCATTCACAAAGCATGTGATTGAAAAGTAATGTTTCAAATGAATACAGGTCCCCGTGATCTGGTGGCTGCTGTAATAAAACTTGGGGCTTCAGGCTCCGATTTTTATTTTGAAATAATAAGAACTGCTTCATTCTTTACCCGAGTTACCATGGTAATTCTGTCTCGTAGCTATGTTATATTGATTTAGGAAGTGGACAGTAATATTTCTTTTCTGTTATTCCCCTTTCTGTGAGTTGATTTCTAATTTCCACTTGGAGATTACTTTTATACATTCCTTAAGTCTTTTCCCTTTTTTTCTGCCTGCAATGTAATTTTCTCCCTTGTATTTGCTATTTTCTGAGATTATTGGCTTGGTCTTTCTCTAAATTAAACTTGCCAATTTCAAATATTGAAATTACATCAATGTTTTTCTCGCCCTAGGTCTCTAGCAATATTACGCCTGGATTCAGGACCTAATACTCGTGGTCTCCAGCTTATATTGCACCACCCTGAGAAAGTCTTTAAAAAACATTTCTCATTGTGCGGTTACAGTTCAATATTTCCGTAGCTGATATGAGTGTATTTACATGCACAGAAGTTTATCATGTCTAAGATCGCAGTTCTGTAGATGTATGCTCAGCTTGGCATTCAAATGATTAGGTTTGTTTTTAATGTGTGCCTTACAAATATACCGAAACGTGAAAGGGAGCCATTCACGTCTCAGTGTTCCTGTGCGATTGTTTGTCACGCAGAGAGATTCCGTCAGATCTTCTGTGATCTACCATACAGTCTAGTTCTCCAAACTCAATTCTGTCTCTATCCCAAGGCTCCAGATCGCTATCAAACTCGTGCCGTCTCACATCAGTGACTGTAGATGTAGATCGTTGCCATCATTTCACTGCAACTCAAAGGGGACCTGAGAGAGCAAAGAGAGAAACAACGAACAACGAGAGAGTCGCGTTCAAGTAAGTGCACCTGTCTCTGATGCAAATGGCCACTCTCGTCAGAACTGCGCAACAACTCCATTACGGTCCCTCCCAGAGTTCTACGAGAGTGCTTCGTTATTAAATCCAGAGCAGTGTACACAACACACCATGCCGCACATTTGCGTGCCCAAACACTCTCTCTCGAACACTAAAGAGAGCTGGATAAACGCTCCCATTACTTCCATATGCTTTATCTCAAGCTCATGTTTTTAGGGGGCTGCCCTTCTCTGATCCCCTCCACTCCGCTGCCTTTTTGATGCGTAATGCTATATGTATTGCTAAGTTCAAGTAAACATTGGCTTCTCAAAGCTCCAAGGACATGCACTCTATCACTGAGGCGTTGGGAACACAGAAAACCTTTTATATCGTCCTCAGCCACGCTGCCAGTGAGATGAATCGTCATTTTTAGGCTACCTTTTAAAATGTCTCGAAGCAACCTTATCTTTCACCTTGAGGCCCTGAGATGGATGCAGACAGGTGCTATGTTACAGAAAAAAAGAGATGGAAAGAAAGGGAGAAAGAAAAAAGGGAGGGGGAGACCTTTTGTGCTATACGTGGTCTGGATTAAAAAAAATAGATCTATAATAAATATGTGGGCTGTTGCTGTTCCCCTTCAGTTAAAATGAGCTGGACTTTTTTGCCTTTTGAAACGTGTAAGTCAGATGTTAGGCTGTTAGAAGAGCAGTGGAAGCCTGGCAAGTGATGGCTTCTCCCAGCAGACCTGCTCCAAGTAATAGTACATATGGTCTGCTGGAAGAGGGGTATACAGCTACATATTGATGATTTTACAGTAGGTGGTTTTTAATTTACTTTCCTTTGGTCTTTAGACCACATGTTATTCCCTTGAGTTGCCTTGTTGTAACAGCTCTCGCTGCCACTTCTCACTGCAAGGTTGAGTCGCCTCGTCTGCTCTGGCTATTGTGTGTGTGTGTGTGTGTGTGTGTGTGTGTGTGTGTGTGTGTGTGTGTGTGTGTGTGTGTGTGTGTGCGCGAGTGTGTCACACTGCTCCTCTTGCAGCAGGTCGTCACACTTGGCTCCATTTCATCACAGTCTCTCTTCCATTTCTATGTTTATTTATTTGTTTATTTTATTTATTTATTTCTTTACCACCGCCCTGAACATCCCCTTTTTTTTCCTTTACAGTGCACTGCCTGTCCTGTGAAGCCACTTTTCACCTCTTCAGTCCTCTTTTTGTCTCTGACTTATTTTCCAAGCAGTTCACGTCATTTTCTGCATGTTGCTTTTCATTTCACACCAGCTTATTAAAAAGTTAGTAAAAAACCCTCCACAGATGGCCATGCTAATGAAATAAATGAATATTGCGATTCGCATATAGGTCTTGTCCTCAGAACCAGCCTCCTCCGTCCATGAGAGTGAGACTTTTATAAACTCTCCTCATTAACCTTAT